TTGGCTGGGCTCTTCCAGATGTTTGCATCTGCTGGGGCAGGAAGGTAGAGTACTAAGCCGGGAAGCACCGGAAACTGGGGCTGGATGGATCTCCCTTGTGGTGGGAGGCTGCAGAGTGTTGCCCTGGACGCTGGCTGAAGCTGCTTGAAGGGTCGAGAGGACTGGGATTAGCTGCAGGGCAGGACTGGGGAAAGCTGTGCATTGGTTCTCACTGCAGAGCAGAAGCTCTGAACTGGTTTTCCTGAGGGTCATGCAAATGGGTTTCTACCATACTACTAGTGGGTAGTTTAGACAGAGGGACGTGGAGACTACTTCCTACTGAAAAGGGTCCCACGATCTCAAAGCATAAACCAGGTGTGGTGGTGCAGGCCTGTAATCCCAGCACTCAGGAGGCAGAGGCAGGAGGATCATCACAAACTTGAGGCCAGCCTGACCTACACAGTGAGTGAGACCCTATCTCAAAAAACAAAACAGAACAAAACAAAACACACAAAAAAATCCCAAACTGTGAAAACACATCAAGACTCTAAGTACAGATTGAAGAGAGACTTAAAGTACTGGAAGACACCATTGAAACTTTACTCAGAGCTCTGTATTAAAGAGACAAATAGTGAGCCATGCAGGCCTGGGAAGAGAAGCATGCAGTCAATCTGCACTTTCTGTGAGCCAACTGGCGTGTGGGCTGGGAGGCAAGAAACCCTCCGGCTGGCCCAAGCAACCAGCTGATTTGGAGGAACACAGGCTGAATTGACAGTAGCTGAGGCATGAAAACAAGTTAACACTTTTATTGTTTGACTGACTTTGCAGGGCTGAAGCTGGTAGCATAAGCATCTATTAAGAGAATAGACGGGAAAGGAGAAAAGGAAGGGAAAGGAAAAATATAAATTTGTTTATACATCAAATAGCTAAGATGATTATACTACTAATTCTATTAAAACTGTTCTTAAAAAGGAACAGTTAATAATCGTGATTAGATCAATTTTGCAAGTCTGCATCTGGTAATTTAAGCAAATCTTTTGAAGATAACAATATGTAATATAACAGCTATTGTTAAATTCCTATCATCTTGTTTTGAAAGCCTATATTGTCCTTGTGGGTTTTTTTTTTTTTTTTTGTAGTTGTTTGTATGTCTCTTGTTTTTATCTTGTGTTTTCTTTTTAAAATAAAAAAGAAGGTAACAATATGCAATATAGCAACTATGGGGATTTCCTTTTGTCTTATTTTTGAAATCCAATATTGTTCTCATTATTTTGCTTTATTTTACTGTTTTGTTTTATTCAATGTTCTGTTCTGATTGGCTTTGTTTTGTTCTGTTTTATTTGATTTTATTATGTGTGATTCTATGGGCAGCAGTTTTGAGGCTAATAAAAGACATTAGGATAACCATTGTTGATTTCCTGTTATCCTGTTTTGAAGTCCTATATGACTTTCACTGTTTTGTTTTGATTGACTTTATTCTGTTTGGATTTATTCTCTTTAAAGTAAAATTTAAAAAAGAGAGAAATAATCCAGGGCATGAGAGAACAGCAAAGAGCAAGAGAAACCAGAATGGAGTGTTCTGATGTACAGCAAACAGTTATCCAGGAAACCCCGGGGCTGGATTTGAAGAGGCAGTTGATGAGAATTGGAGAAAACTGTTCAGGCTGTTCGGATACTAACAGTAGAGTTGAGGACTATTGATTTAGCTAGACAGGATGGAGTTCAGCTTTGAGATTAGAAGTACATTTGTGCAATAACCGAGGGTATTTATATTTAGGCATGCAGAGTGAGAATGGAAAGTAGCAACTATAAAAAGAAAATGCTACAACTTAGAGAGAAAAGTGACTCTGGCAAGAAAATGTGAATTAAACTGACACTAACTGTCTGGTATTAGATGGCAGAAGACAAAAGAGAATAATATTCCTAAAGTACTGGAACAAAAGCATCACTTGGAATTGAGAAAATAAGTTGCTTAGAAAAGAATATTATTTTACTGTCCACTGATTTTGCTGAAATACCTAATTAAGGATATGCATCAGTAAACCACAAATAAACCTGAAAAAATGAAGGAGACACACAATGTGATGTGAACTGGATTTTCTGGCACTAAGAAAATATTTGTTGAAAAGCCTGAATCATATTACACACATGACTTTCCTTGAGATTGGTTATTAATTAGCTTCATTCAGTTATACCTTATCTATTAAAACCTCCCCATTATTTGCTAAACTGGAACATCTTTCAGAACACTCAGAGCTCTCACTAATATCCTTCTGACTCCATCACTTCCTAATCCTGCAGTTAATTGGGATATCCATTTAAAAGCAGCTTGCCTTTCAATTCTTATTGCTATTATCTAGCAAGATTTATATGATGAAGTTTTAATTAGCCATGAAATAACTCTGAAAATACTAGACATAGCTAAATCCCGTTGACCACTAGTTAATAGCTTAGAGTTTATATTTTGTAGTTTACAGTTTTTAGTAAAAATAATTAAAGCTGATCTGAACGTAGGGAGACACACACACTCATACTCATGCACAGGCACAGATGCTCGCACACACACGCCTACTGAACGGAAGAGCGAGGCTGAGAGCTGTTCCAGGAGAGAGCTGGGTGGTATTTCCTTCCAGGAGAAGTCTGCCAAGCCAGAGAGAAGGACAGGACATTGACTGAGAGTTGGATTAGGTCCGATGTACACATCACAAAACTATTTTTAAGAGAATGGAAAGTGAAAGGTCTTGGCCACAGCCAACTTGATGTCTAGATATCACACAGCTTTCTGGCAGTAAACTGGGGTTAAACTGAAATAAACATCTGTGGGCTCTTCCTGGGGTCTGACATGTCTGTTAGAAGGAATTCAAAACAAGCAAGATGAAACTCGCGGTCTCCAGACGCAGTTTAGCGGGGAGACAGGGATATGAAGTAATTTTGCAAGGCGTTTCAGCATTGTGATTAAGGAAGGTGCTGAGCGAACAAGAGAAAGCAGAATTAAATTCCAATTAGGGAAGCATTTTAGTGGGCTGGTTTAATTGGACTTTGGAGGATGGGTGAGAATGTTTGTGTCGGGCAGTGGTGATGGACGTCCTCCTGGTCTCCACGGTGGAGCCTGGCTCACAGGAAGGGTGGTCCATCTTCTTGCTGGGTCTCCATGGCCCTGCTCTCTGGGTTTCAGACTCATCAAGCTTTTCAGATTCCAGGCAGCCAGTCTTCCGAGGCAGGGTTCATCTGGGCACACCGGGTGGGGCAGTATGGGACAGACAGACAGATGCACTCCAGGATTTCTCCACACATTGTCCCTCTCCCAATTTGGGTCTTTCTTAGTCCTTTTGCACTTTAACATCAGAGCCATGTTGGTATCCATGCCCAGGTTAAAACATCTGCCGCAATACCCAAGTGTCTTCAGCTCCTTTGTCATTAAGTGATGCCTTTGTACTGTAGTTAAGTATTTCCTTTAAAAACTCAACTGCATCACTTTACATTTATTCTCTTTAACATCGTCTTACTCAGTTTGGCTTTTCTTGAATTCTGGCTTTGACTCCGTTATTCAGCCTGTATGGTTTTCCTCTTGTTGTCTGTGGCTGCAATAAAACATTTGCATCAACTAACTTATGCAGAGAGAAAGTTTGCTTAGCTCCAGTGTTGGAGGCTCAGGGTTCAAGAATGGTTTGGCTTCTGGTGTGGCCCTGCTGGTGGCCATTCTGATGAAGGGGCTTCCTGAACTGGTGCAGAGAGGAAGTGGGCAGGCGGGCCTGCTCGTTTAACACAGCCCCAAGGTGCATGAAAGGTCACATCCAAGCTGCCCCGTCACCCAGGCCTGCCCGCTTGCCCAGCCTGAGCAGGAGGCGTTCAGTGTGCAAGCAGAGAAAACCTCGCTCTGTTTCTTGTTTTGGCTTTTGTTTTTGCTTAGGGCTAAGTGGGGAGGGAGGGAATCTATCTAGTCCTTCTGTCTCCCCACTGTGGAATTGCTCTTCTAGCCGCTTCCTGTACCTGGAGTATTTCTCCCTGAGGCATTGGCATAAGTGACTCCTTTTCTTTCAGGCTGTCCCTGAGCCTTGCCCTGAACCCACTTTCTCACTGCCGCGATGTCCCCTGATCAGTGTCCCCTGATCCCTGGGCTGAGTGCCTCATCCCCTTGCCTGGGGATGGCGAATCTTTGAGAGCTTTAGATGGCACAAAGAGCCCCTGTGGCATGAGTGCTGTACATTCTCCACTGTTGACCTTTTCCAGCGTTCCTTTATCTCCCCTATTTTCTTCCTCAGGGCTTAAAACTATGTAAGCACCATGCTTTTAATTTATTTTACTTATTATGACACTGTTGCTATATTCTGTAAAGACAACAAATAGATTTTGCTTTGTTCACCAGTAGATCCCAAGTTCCTAGAACAGTGCCAATTGCATTGTAGGTGGTCAATTAGTATTAGTAAATACTAATCAAATAAAGAAGAATCCATTTCAGACTGGCATTGACTGGGCAACGTGAATGTAGAGGCTTCCTAAGTCATCAATAGTGTGAGGTCACCTGAAATTTCCAAGCCATTGATTATGGGTTTTTGGCTTTTGATCTTGTGATAATGTTATTTTTCACAGATATTTTAGTGGGAAACTGAGAAAGGATGATTCAGGGACTTTTAGATGTCATTCTGGGCTAGATAATTTGAAGTTGTCTTTAAACGTGATAAATTGTCAGCCAAGTCACTGGTGCAAATCAGAAGCCAGAGTCCTGAAGTGCAGGACTGAGAAGTCCTTTCCGTCCTTTCTTTTTGCAAACCACTGTCCAGTTGTATGGCACTCTGGTCACTCAACAGGGCCATTGGCCATTTGTGTTTTCCCATCTGTATTGTTCCAGGTGAGCCACAGGCACAACAATTAAAGTTGGTTAGTGCTGTGCTAGATTCCTGAAAATATAAAACCAATGTGAAAGTGTATTGGATGCGTATTATGCACTGGACACTGTGCTAGGTTTATTGTAAGCCATATTTTATTTTGTAAATTTATACCACTTTTATTTCTTTTTATAGTGACTGAGGTCATAAAGTGAGGAAGTGATCTGCGGATTCGAGTCCAGGAAGTCCAACCCTGACGTCTGACCACTGATTCCTTTCCACCGTGTCCCCAAGTAACAGGAAAGAGGTGAGGATCCGAGCCTGCCCTGTAAAGAAAGATTTTAAATCCTCCTTTCCAGAGAAGAAAATGTGAAACTCTAGAGGAACCTAGCTAGGCCATGTACCTGTGTTCCTGTTATTTTTATTTTGGGAGAAAATCCTGCAATGTCTTTGCCTTTCTGGGAATGATGCTGTTGGTGGCTGATGAGCACCGAGATCCAGGGTAAGCCCAAGTCTCCCAGTCCTCTCTGAGAAGGAGAAGCTGAGCTGCTGCTTTAGGGCTCCACATAAGCGCTGCTGTCCGGACGCTGAGAGCAGCCTGGGGCTGTCACGCCCTGACCTCTGCAGTGCGCAGCCTTTCACTGTCTTAGCCCTGTGCTAAGTTCTCCCGCGACCTAGTCACACTGCCCCGAACCGAAAGCAGTTTCCATGTTTTATATTTAATCCTTTTGAGGCACTCAGCCAGGTGGTGAATTAATTACTTTTGTAGGCTGAGAAAGGATCCGCGCTTAGGTGTTATATTCAGCTAACGTTAGAAATTCTTCTTTGAGGACTGCCTGGATACCATTTAGGGTTTTATTTAATCAAAAGTATGCTTCAAAAGCAGAGCAGTATGGCTTAGTTGTTGACTAAATGTTGCTGGAGAAAAATTACTTTAATTGCTGGTGGAACTGCGAAGGGATATTTTTGTTTGTAAACTGTTTTCTCTCTAGTCAGTGACAAATTTCCTTGGAGGTGGTGTGGTTAGAGCGTGTTTGCGATCGAAGTAAAGAAGAACAGTCTAGTTCGAAGATTATAGAATTTACGTATATGCTGCAGCACACACAGCAAACACAGCAGCAGTGTGTAGCGTTTCCCCGAAGGGGAGAGGCACAAAGGGGCAAGACAAGACAGCTCTGGGTGTGAAGTCAGGAAACACAATTCTAAGCTCTGGTGATGTGCTCACTCCCCGGAGAAACAGCACAGTTCTACCTCCTCAAGGAGTTCTTCTAGAGCTCTTGTAGTAAAGCTAAGACCTTGTATGTCACGGCGAGGCACTTCAAGCATGCTTTGGACACTCCATATCTCTCTAGATCACTGCGATGGTGGGCCCAGGGGTGCCGTCTTTCCAGTAGGGCAGGGAATAGGCGTCTCTAACTTCCTTAGAAACAGAAAGGGAGAGAAACTGCATTTTAAAAGTCCTGGAAATATGCAGAGGACTTTGCTGTCTGACAGTTACCTTTCCTGTAAGCTCCTGTTCAGTAGCGGGTGACATGGTAATAGAAGAGAGGCTTCTCTTCTGGTGTGATGGAGTGCAGACTTTGGCCATGTAAGCGTTTTCAGAGGAAGGTCATTGTGCATGGAATCAATTTTCATTCTCAACTCCACAATACCTGTTTGTCATCAGAGCTTGGTGAGAGTCCCATCTGTTCAGTTAGAGACTCACCTGATTGATGGAGAAGGATTGATAGGAGGGGATACACTTCTGTACCTGCAAATACATTATTTAAGTGTCCTTTAGCTCTGGGTAGGAGCTAACCCTGTCTAGACACGGAATGTGAAGTGGAAGGGGAAAGCTTTTAGCTGAGTAGAGCGAGGTGAGGAAAGCCCTGCTGAAGTGAGTGATAGAAAACTTCAGTGGATGCTTGTTTTCAAAAATCATTATAGTAAAAGACACGTTGCCACTAATTGGTCCCCTCACGGTCCCCCCGTCCCCATAGTGAACTCGTTTGCCCCGTCAGCCTCGCCACTCTCAGCAGCAGTTCTGGAAGTGGTGTCTCAGCGACGTTGGCTGGGTGGTCCTGACAGCGTCCACGTTCTGAGTGGATTCAAAGCATTTCCCTTTCATGGTCATTCTGACTGGGGCAGAGCCAGGAGTTTCACGGTACCGGTGTGGTGAAGAAGGGAGAGGAGGACGCGGCCTCATGTTTTCACGAGTCCGACTTCTGTTAGAAGGCACTTGGCAGCAGCACCTGCTGTGATTTGGATCACACATGGTGCTCGGGGAGAGGACTCCAGACCTGCTTCGGAAGGCAGCAGGGATGAGGGGGTGGGTGAGTTTAACGTGTGCTGGGGTTGGGATGTGCATTTTAATGGCAGTGTGTATTCTGATATAATAGACTTTAAAAAATTAAATATTCATGGTACATTTTGATCATACCTCATATTCCACACATAATAGATGCCCAACAAACTAGGCGAAATAAGTAATTTTTTTTCATCCTTGAATTGTCTAGATTTTTCTCCCTTCTTAGGTATAGGTTCGGTATACATTGAACATTAAAACCTATTCTCTCTCTCTTTTCTTTTTGGTGCTGGGAATCCAACCCACATCCTCATCCTTGCCAGGGAGGGCTATATTGCTGAGCTATATTCCCGGCCCCTGAAATCCTATTCTCTTGTCCCTGTGTTTTTCACTCTATCCTTAGGTATGTCCACTAGCAAATAAGCTTTAGCCACATTTGTTCTGTGTAGTTTTTGTTCTAAAAAGATTTTACGTATAACACATAGATCGTGCTCACTTCGGCAGCACGTATACTAACATAATACATGGATCCAATTCACATTCTCCACTGTCCACATTCACTTCCCTAAGGTGCTAAAGCAGACACCCCATACGCGAGCCCACAGTCCAGAATCAGAGAGCGTGTGCTCAGCTTTCCATCCTCCACGCCTGAGCACACTCATCTCACCCCACTAATGTGCTTGAGATGTCCCTTCTCGGCTCCTGTTGGAAAGTGAACCCAGGACAGAGAACCAGGACTGACTGATCTCAATGTGTAAGTCGAAGGAAGCTAAGGTCAACTTAAAATCTGGCCTAAAAGCAATTCATATTTTAAGGTATAAATTTTTAAAAATGCTTATAAAAAACATTTTAAAATGCACAGGGGCAGAGGATGTAACTCAGTGGCACAGTGCCTGCCTGGCAAGCACAAAGTTGTGAGTTTGATTCCCAATAGTCCTCTTCAAGAAAAGCACAAAATTATCTGATTTGTAAGACAATTTATAAAGGATACACAAGATGGACACCGGGGGTGTCATTTATACCGGGAGTGTAGCAGAAGCTGTCCTGTGGTCGTCTGTCATCAGCATGAGCATCACACAGTAATCGGGGCCGAGGGAAATTCCCGCATAGCACTGTGAAGGGGCCCGTGAGAGGTGAGCATCTGGTGAGGACTGAGGTCCGGGGCTGCCCATCCACAAAGATTGGAAATAATCTAAATACACGGTGGAATGCAGTAAGAGCCCAAGTGAAGATGAAGCGAGGCGGGATTCTTTTTTTTTTTTTTTTTTTTTCTTTCTTGTAGCAGAAACGAAAGGAGAAAACGAAAGACCTGGGGTGGAGGAGCTGTCCTTCCCGAGGGTCTCTCAGGACCCACAGGGTGGAGGAGGAAAGGGTGCAGTGCCTCCTGCCCAGCGTGTGGTCCCTCTCTCCAGACTCTGCTGACCTTGGTCCTTGCCTTGGGGACTGACTTCTGACGTGCTCACAGCTGAGCTGTGGATCGTTTCTTTTCTGGGGGCAGGGGAAGCCCTTTGTCCCTAGTGCTTCCTGCAGATGCCTGCTCTTCCTTCAAAACCGTCTGGGGACCTGCTCTGCCTCCTCCCTCTCCAGTCTCCTCCAGTTTGCCGGGTGCTTTCCTCATTTCTTCATCAGATTCATGTGCTCTCACCACAACAGCATTATGCTCTCCGTCCCCATGTTTTTCTGCTGAAATGTGTTAAAATCACGCCCACTTAAAACTTAATTTAATTTGGTTGTATTGATAGTATTTTCTAGTTTCTTGGGGTTTTGATGGAATTATGCAGGTGGATGAAGCCACACCTGAGTTCATGGCCCTACTTTTCAGAAGTGGGTGGCCCACTTCCACCCAGAATGGAGAGGTATGGTCATTTCTCAGTTTCCCGAAACCGAAGTTGGCTTTGGGATTTGCTTTGGCCAACAGAATGTAGCCAGTGACATGTGACTTGACCAGCTGCTGTGCAGCCTGCCGCCCTGGGCAGGCAGCAGCCCTGTGGAAACACCTGTGCTGCTTCTCGGTGATGCAGAGAGCTTGGCATTGTTTGCAAACCCTGAGTGTCAACACTCACGGCTGTGCTAGTAAGTTGTGGTTGTTTCAAACCATGGAGATTTTGGTTGACTTTCATAAAGCAGCAGATCCCTGTGTGCTAGAATTGAAATGCACCCAGGAACCATGCTCCAGTCATACTTACTGGATGATGGCTAAATGAGCCTGGGGTAAAAGCATTTGATATTCTCAAAAGACAGAGACCGGATGGAAACACAAGCTCTTCTGATGGCAAATGTGGTGCGCATTAGCTGCAGCGAAGAGGAAACCAACCACAGTGTCTATGCTTTCGGGCAGTGCAGTGAAAGTTCACAGGCTATTACAGTAACCTCCAGAGACAGTGGCACTCAGGAAAGATACGGTGCATGGAAGTGAGGGGGGAACAGCTGGCACCATCTCTGCAGTGGTACAAAAGTGCAGTGTTCTCTGAAACAGCCCCAAATAGTGACTAAAGCGCAAAAAGTGCCCATGCAGTTCCAGAATAAGTAAATATTTAACTGTCTTGATGTTGTGATCAGTGCTAGGCCTCCTTTGTGGGAGTGCAGGATTCATGGGGAGAATTCACACACATCTCCTGGGAGTCTGCTGTGCATGGCCAGAAGGAGACGGAGGACGTTAAGCCCAGACACCAGCCAACCGATGAAGCTTTCTTTCATCTACTGAGCTGTACCATGTATTTTACCCTAGTTACTAAAAATATACAGAAAAATAACTAAAAGCAATTTTTGTAGAATATGGAGGATGCTCAGATGGTCATGTGTTAAAATTGCTTGTTCAGCCAGCTAGCCCCCTGTGGGTCTGTGGCTCTATTAGACATGTATTCAAAATAGCATCTCCAGAAATTCATTTAGCATGAAATTATACTTCCCACCCGCTGGACAGTTAGAGCACAGTGTGTGCAGGGAGGCAGGCAGGGAGGAAGTCACCCATGTGAGCATTGCGGACAGTCAGCGGGGCCCCGCTTAGGGAGGAACCCACTTAA